AGCAATATACGTATACCATGTTACTTGAAATAGTCCTCTATCCTTAGCCTGTGCTGAAGGCGTGGATTACATAGCCAGGTTATAACCCGTGATCTCACACACCCAACCACAGTGGACTGCTGAAGACAGGGATTAGACAGCCACATTTGTAACACGATTCCATACTTGCGACCACAGCGAGCTGAACAGTTCTTAGTAGGGAGAAATGGTTCTTAAGCCAGACTGAGCTAGTTAGATTCTTCCTAAAGAATCTGAGCTGTGACATTCAGAAACTTAGGTATTGGTATACACATAAATGAAAAGGTAATTTAGAACTGGTCCAGAGGCAGTGGAGCAAGTCTAAGTCTAAAGGAAATTATGAATAAGCAGAGAAAGCTGATTTATAGAGCAGAGCAAAGGGATGAAGTGGGTTTGCAGAACAAGCACTTGAGGCCCTATGAGATATAGAAGTGGCCATGGTTGCTGGCTTTGTAGTCCCATTCTTGAGGTGGCACAGCTATACTTCATTTCCTGTCATTGGATACCAGTGATTTTTGCCTGTTACATGCTTACAGTTAATTCCCTTTTTCTTAAACAGACTTGAGTTTGTGTTCCTTGCAGTTAGGCAGCCCTGATGTAGACACCTAAATGTTGATCCTTAGCAATTGAGAAGATGGTGATGCCATTAACTGTGATAGGGAAAATAAGGAGGTTTATGGAAGAGAAGACTTTACATTGGATGTAATGAATTTGATTGGTGGTGAGATACCCATGTGAAAACATCTAGCAGTAGTTGAAAATGGGGCCTGAAACCCAGGAGAGATTAAAGCTAGAGATGAAGATCTTGCAGCATTATCATTGTCATAGAAATAATTAAGCAGCCCTGGGACATGGTACAGAAGGACAAAAAATGAGGACAAATCTTGGGGGAAAGGTATTTAAAGAATGAGCAAAAGACAAATAAAAAGATGGAGAGTGATAACAGGAAGAAAACCTGGGTGGTACAAGTTTCATGAAGACAAAAGTGGCTTGGTACTGGTCACATGGTACATAGGATGATATCAAAGACTACACTGGATTGGTTAATTGGAGCATGATGATCTTTTGAGAAGGCAGCTGCAGTAATAATAGTGGGAGTAGAAGCCAGGTGGATATGGTTTAAGTAGTAGATAAGACACACAGTAGTTCCCCCTTATCTGTGGTTTTACTTTCTGCAGCTTCAGTTACCCACGTCAACTGTGGTCCAAAAATATTAAATGGAAAAATCTAGAAATAATTCATGTTTTAAATTGTGTACTGAGTAGTATGATTAAGTCTGTCACTGTCCCACTCTGTCCCTCAAATCATCCCTTTGTCCGGTGTGTCCACATCGTATATGCTACCCGCTGGTTAGTAGCTGTCTCAGTTTTAAGATTGATTGTCATGGTATTGCAGTGCTTGTATTCAAGTAACCCTTGTTTTACTTAATAATGGCCCCAAAGTGTGAAAGTATTGATGTTGGCAATTTGGATATGCCAGAGAGAAGCCATAAAGTGCTTCCTTTAAGTGAAAAGGTAAAAGTTCTTGACTTTATAAGGAAAAAGAATCGTATGCTAAGGTGGCTAAGACCTACAGTAACCTTTATTACAGCATATTGTTCTAATTTTTATTTTTACTATTAGTTATTATTGATCTCTAACTATGCCAGTTTGTAAATTAAACTGTATCATAGGTGTGTATGTATAGGGAGAAAAGTAGAAACCACTGTATTTCTTGCTATTTTGCTTTCAAATTTGAACCCTTGTAAGATGATGAGCAGACGATCTGCAGCACTGAAATACAAGACTGCACTTGAGCTGGATCTTAAAGGGTGACTGCCAAGAAGAGAAGGGAAAGAAACTCTGATATATGGTTGCAGGTTTACTCACTGCAATTCAGATGTGCAGAGGAAGTGGAATTTTCCTACAAGAACTTACATGTCCTTCCCACCCAGTGGGAAGTCTGGAAAAAATTAACTTTTAGTCCTAGCCAGTTTAAAACATAGTCTGATATAAAGGGAATATAATTTATAATATCATAAGGTAATGCTGAAACTTTTGGAAAATTGCCATCTTGTCTCTGCCCTTTGTCTTCTCTCTAAAATGGTGTCCAGATATATGGAGGAAGAGGCTTACATGACATAATAACATTAGTGAAGACAGTGTCTTCATCTCTTCCATCTTCTGGGCATCTTACTGGCTTCTGATGCAACAGGCAATGGGTTATAAAATATGTGATCAAGTTGTTCCTAGCCTGGTCAGAGCCCAGTAGTTCTTGGCTCAACTGGCCTCCCCTTAGTTCTCTTGGGTGTGGAAAACTTGGAGATTTCTAACTCTGTCTCAAGCAGTCCGCTGCAGAGGTCAGGATGCAGGTTTAGTACATGCCACCCCACTGCAGGCTCGAGATAAGCCTATGTGCTTCCTATTCAGCTACCTTCTGAGTCTCCCCTGGGGGAATATAGGAGTTTGTGGGTCTCTTGCATAGCATACAGGAACAAAGAGTAGCCTAGAAAAGCAAACCGCTTTACTAAGGCTTGCTTTGATGGTGGCTGTGTCCTAGCCTGAGAGGCTCTCTCTTTCCAGAATCATGTAGACTCCTCTGCCACCCAGTATATTATGGAATACTTCAAAGCAATAAAAGATGAGTGAACTACTGCTATATTAAGCAACATGAATGAATCACACTAATAAAATGTTGAGCAAAAAATTCAGGTACAGAAAGAGTATATACTGTATGATTCCATTTATATAAAATTCAAAAACAGGCAAAAGTACTCGGGTGTTAGAAGTTAGTATAGCAGTTATCTATTGGCAGAGGATTGGAGGAGCTTCTGGGAAGCTTCTGGCATTTACTATCTTTATCTGGGTCATAGTTAACACAAGTTAGCTTTGTGATAATTCATCTAGCTGTTCACTTAAGATTTCTGTACTTTTCTGTATGATTGCTATACTTCCATTTAAAAGTATAAAATCTAATTTGAAGAATAAGAATACTAGAACATTTGTTCTTCAGCTTTAATGAGATTAAAGATTACCTGGATTGTGAAAATGCAGATTCCCCAGGCTATCCTCAGAAATTTTGATTCAGTAGATCTGACTCTAAGAATCTGTATTTTTAACCTTTGCCCCAGGTAATTCTGATGCTTCGTTCGCACTTTAAAAAATGCTGATTTAGCACCTGTCGGTTCGCGTGTAAGAAGTTTGTCAGTTTAAATTCAAGTTTAAGTTTACTGGCTCTCCAATTGCTAGAAGGGGCATTTCCTCACCAGCTTAATGTTTTCCAAATGTAATGAGAGTTTAAAATGTTTATATTTATCCTTATAGTGTGGTTTTATTACATCTATTGAATTCTGCACTTTTTCAAATTTGATTAAAAGAAAAAATTTTATTCATTTCCTATTGCATTTTTAACAATACAGAGACATTTGACTTTCCTGGGACGTAATAGCTTTTTTAGATACAGATATTTAGTTCCAGATATATTCAGCATGTAATAATGTAAAAGAACTTCGTAAAAAACCTGTCTGCAGAGGAGAGATCTTAAAATGGAAAGAAAATAAGATTTGGAACATGTAGAGAAGAACATTGTAGAATAAGGTTGGATAAAACCCAATAACTAAGAGTAAAATCAGTAACTACTAAAACTAATCAGTGTAAGTGTCAAGATACATAAAGGCACTTGTAGAATTCTGTGGTCTGTCTAGTTTTGTCAGTTCTAATGTAAATATTTGTTGACAGCAAATCTTCAATAAGTGTTTTTCGCATCAATGAAAGGTCATATTTCTATTAATTCCATCACCAGATTGTGGTATTCTTTAATAAAACATATAGACAACGTCTTTTAAAAAAAAACCCTGAAATCCATTTCACATGTTTTGTTATTATTAACATGAATTCTTGTGTATTTTTCAACCTATTCCAGATGTTTTAAGATTTTGTTTTTCAGCACAGACTCAACCTGATAGCAACCGTCTGTCCTGGATAATTCAAATTCATCTCTCTGAAAGCGTGAGAATGGATTTGGTAAGGCATTTAGGTCTTTTCTGGCTCAATAACTATAACATTAAGTGAAAATAATGCCTCATACAATTTATCCAGATGCTCTTTCCATTTCATAACCACCACCACCATCTGTGCCCACTTTCCCCGAGAGTACGGAAAGGTGGTGTTAGGTGCTGAATATAAGGAACGATCTGTTAAACTTCAGAAGTCATTAAATAGTGTGTAGGGGATATTTATCTTGTTTAACCTAAAGGAATGGGCAGTGTCAGCTGTGACTTTTTTTTTTGCAGTGTTAAATTTTTGTAGTAAACGCAGCGGTGATTTGAGGAATTCACAGTACTTTAAGTGAAGGCCAGTACTTAGACAACTGTGAAGCTGACCGCCCCCTTTATTCCGCCATCTCACTCTCAACATTTAGAGATAAATGCTATTTTCTTTTAGATTGTAGAACCTCAAAGTTACCTTTTAAAACTATCTACATATTTTTTTCACACTTTGCCTGGGCTCAGCAGTAATAAATCATTCAGATCAAGCAGCCTCTTCTTGGTACGTATGAATTAATACATTTGTGAATATAGGTCTGTAATCAAAGGATCATCGTGTCAATTGCCTCTTTATAGGAATCTTAATTTGAAAACAAGATTGGCCACAGACACTAGTAATTATTTGCTATCAAATCATTAAAACGTTACTGGCATCCTCTAAAAGAGAACTATCTTAAAAAGTTCACTGGCAGCACTGACTTGTTTGGAAAGTATACGTTGATTGATACGTATTTGTATATGTGTATGTTTATATATATTTGCCTGTGTTTGTGAAATTGTATCAACACCCATCTGTAATATCTCAATAAGATACATAAAGTACTTTTTCAGCCTCTAAACCCCTTGAGATGCCTTGGGAATCTGCCACCTGAAACCACTGTACCACTTCATGACAATTTTCAGTTAGGATACCTATATACCTATGATTCTTGTATGCTATTTTTACTACTTGATTATATTTTCCTTATAAAAAGAAATAAGTTTAGTTCCTTGATTTCTTTCTCCAGGGTTGAAATTTTAGTCTCCATTTTGTAAAATTTCTTTTAAAAAGTTACTCAGTTTTTCACAATGGACAGTTATATAACATTTAATATAGTCATCATATCTTTTAACACATCTGACAAAAGTAACTTGTCCTAATTTATGAAAGAAAAATTTAATAAGAAGTAAAATATTAACCTCTGTGAAAGTAGTAAGACAAATATGTGAAAATCATTTTAGAGCTTGTTTTTCATAGATGTTGACCTACTGGCACAAGAGTAAAACCTGCATTAGACGAGTCGCTGCAAGCTCCTCCATAAGTTGGTGTCCAGTAATAATGCTTTTTAAGGCCATTGGAGACCTCTGCAAGATACACACGTCCATCCACCACAAATGGCTCCACATCTGTATTGTCTGGTTTTAGACGGCCCGTTTGAATTAAGTCTGAATATGCCTAGGATTTTCAAGAAAAGAAAAACTATTATCATTAAGAAAATAATTTATTCATATTACAGTGCTTAAACAAATTTCAGTATTCAAATTAGCTATGCTAACTTGCAGTTTAAAATAAAATATTCTGAATAACATTGCTGAATTTTAATATTTTCCAGTTATTGTAGACCTTTATTGATTTAATTCCACACCATGAAATTATAATCTTACAAAACTTATTTATAAGTATTAATGTATTGGGTACGTTTTGTTGTTGTATGACTCACAGAGTTAATAATTGTATTACCAATTTTGTGGACCAAAGGTCCCATGGTCAAAATTTTCAAGTCCCGCAGGGGTTCTTAAATGAGAGAGGAGAGCTGTTGTATATGCCGTTGAAGATCTGATGGTAGCCAGGGACGCATTTCTCAGAAAAATAAACAATCACAGATTTTGGCATACAACTCTGTGGAGTTCATGAACCCTCTGAAGCTAATCTACAGATTTCGTTTGAGAAGGACACTTCCCATAGTATTAGATGCTGGCCTGGCTGGCCACCTAATTATTTCTTCATTGCAGAATTTTCTTTGGATATCTCTTATGGAACATTGGTACCTATGTGAGCATGTCATACAAATATGTTAAACTGGTTTGTCAATAAGGTGGTGATTATAGGCAGAAATTTAGCCAATAAAAGATGTAAAAGTCTAGTTGCTTTCTGCTTCAGCTTGTCACTAGTACTTCCAAACTCAGCTTACTCAGCTTCTAATGAGTAGAATATGGATATGATGTTTTGCTAAAGTTAAGGGATTTTGTAAAAAGAAAAACAGCGTACATTTTATTACTCTTTTTAGTGGTGGAATTTTGATTACTCCTTTTGCAGATTTTGAGAATTTTAACATCTAATTTTCTTCATTCTTTCCAAATGAAAACTATTTGTTACTACACTTTTTGTTTGTTTTGAAAGTAAGTAGCAAGTGCTCTCTGTATTTACATAAGCAACATACCAAATATTTTGGCAACTTATATCTTTCCAAATTCCATGTCTTGGTTTAATTAGTGGTAGCAGATTGGGGATTGTGCCACATCAAATTTAGAATAAGTCAACAATGGTGACTTTTAAAATTTTTTAACTTTGAAGGAATTGGGACTGTGTAATTCAGTGATCTTTGTACTTTCATGTAGTATTTGCTATCTTTTGCTATTTCAACCACAAAACTTTCCAGGAGCTAATTTTTGGGACTTATGTTAAAATTAATCAAAACTGCAGTGTCTCATTATACTTTGTAGCCATTTCTAAGGTACCTGTAAATGTCTGACGTTATAGAGAAGACCCAAGAAAAAGCCTTCAGTGAAGGAAAAAACTTACCACGCATGTAGCCTCATCAAATTTGTTTCCCCAAATGTAGATATTAGAGAAAGTGGGATTTGTTTTCATTGATTGTGAAAGTGCAACAAGTCCTTCTCCCTCTATGTTGTTGCTGACCACCGACAATCTATGGAAAACCAAGAAGTAATCACCCTGGAAACTAATAGTTCCACAAAGAGAGAATGCATAAGGTAGGAACAACATTACAAACATTTTATTGTGTAAAGTCTTGGCATTACTCTTAAATATATTTAATGTAGTAGTCAAAATATTGACAATAGAATTCCTAAAATCCAAGAAACGTAGTTTTCTAACTAGATGCTTCATGCACCCAGTAAAACTACCTACATTTTGGAAATGACAGTCTGTTTTATATTATTCAGTAAATGTTTGGGTGGATTACAGATATATTTTTCAGGATAAAGTCATCCAAATAATATTTTCTTCTTTGATTCATTCTGATTTTTAAGTCTTGATCACATTGAATGATTATGATTTTTCTATTAGAATTCAGGATAAATAATATAAGCAATAAGAATTTTCTCATTAATCTTAAGCAGTCATAATTGGAGTCAGTCTAATTTTTAAAAGGCATGACTTTAAAAAAATAGAAATTGAAATGTTTACTGCAACTTAATACATCAGAAACTGTTCATTCTTTATCATGAATCTTAACAGCTTTAAGGGGTTTGAGGTTAGTCTTCTAAAAATTTAAGGTTTTCTGTTATTTTGATTAAATATAAAACCATACTAACGCTTTAAGACTCCTGTTGTGTGAAGCAAGAGTTTCACTGAGATAGTTTGCTCCTGCATTTTCTATTCTGTTAAAAGAAAGATCTATTACTTCCAGGGTAGTATTGCTTTTCAGCACATCAGCCAAATACACCATTCCATCATGAGTTATTTTATTGCTGGAAAAGGAAAAATATGTATATTTGAAAAGATGAAGTATTGTTCTTTTATTCATAGAGATAACATGCTTGAAAACTGTTATAGAGTAATAAACTGTACTTTCTAATTTAATAAAGATTTATTTTAATCACTCAATTTCCAAAAGAGTTAATGAAAATACGCCGTAAAATATTGTTTCCATTCTGGTTTAAGTCGTGCTTCACTTAACGACTGGGATATGTTCTGAGAAATGCGTCATTAGGTGATTTCATTGTTGTGCGAACAGCATAGAGCGTACTTAGACAAATCTAGATAGTATACTGACTACTCCCCCAGGCTATATGGTACTAATCTTGTGGGACCAGCATCATATATGCACTCTGTTGTTGACCAAAATGTCGTTATGCAGCACATGACTGCACATAATTGTGCAGTCTATTAGGAGATATAGTATCAGTATAAACTAAATAAATGCTAAGGCTTAGGATAAAAAGGCCACAACAATGGTTGCATTTTCTAATCTTTGGAATTAGTGTCTAACAAATTATCCTATGTACTTTGAACATTTATATAGATTATTCCCACAACTTAACTTCCGAATTACATACTGTATAAATGATCACTTACCAGCTGACATCAAGGTAGCGGAGGCTCCTGTTGAGATACAGGGCGTCACATAACTGTCTTATGCCATCAGTTTTTATCTGATGCTTACACATGTGTAGTTCAACAAGGCAGTGATTTTCTTTCAACATGTGGCCTAGATGAACTGTAGACTCCTCCTAAAAGGATAAAATCTTTTTTCTAAAATATAATTTTGAAGCTGTATATTTTTATTCCAAACATATGCTGTTATTTAAATTAGCTTTCTGAAAAGATTATATCAGTTAAGACTGTTAGTCTACAATTTGCATTTGTTTGGCCAGGCTGTTTAAAAAAAAAACATTTTTCCCACAAATGATTTGTTAACTTAGAAAGAGGCACCTGCATTTGTAAAATGCAGTGAGTAAGTGATGCAAAAGAGGCTGGTTAAAAAAAACATAATAATCATCTTTTAAAAATCATTCCAGAAGGGAAAAAATCAAAACAATTGGTCCCATGATGGATTGAGCATATGAGCTCTCTTTTGCTGTTCTCTCAAGAGTTTAAACCTTTCTTGCACCCTCCATGTGTTCCTGAACTGCGCTCTTCATCTCCACTCTTAATAGTTTCTAGACAAATACAAAGACCTTCCCCAATCTCGATTCTGTCTTAAAAATAGACTTGTTAACCCTGGGATATATCCAGTTCCCCCCTTTTATAATCATCCCAAATTTCTAAATATGTTTTACTTTTGTTTTCTGGTCAGTCTTTTCTCCAGTCTTACTGGAAGACTTTTTTTTTTAATTCCAAAATCTAGCTGCTTCCAGGCAAAAGGTATATAACCTCAGTGAGGATTTGAATACCAAGCACTTTAAATTTTTAACAAAATCAAAGCATGTCTTAAAATGAGTGTGCCAGAGTATTTTATGGTCAGGAGGAGTCCTCTCACATGATTGCTGTACTTGTAATAAGTTTTATAGTCACTGGAAATGCTGATCACAAACATGGATAACTATATATGCTCTAATTAAGTAAAAGTACTGTGAGAAAAACTTTAGAAGTTAAATGAAGCCACATAGTAATAGCAGATAGTACATGAGGTTTATAATAAAACTGTCCAAATGCTGGCATTACCTTTCATCTCAGGCTCAGTTTCCTTTTCTTTACAATAGGTGAAATTATAGTTCCCTCAAAGAATTAGTTAACAAAAAGTACCTGGCACAAAATAAGTGTTCTATAGAAAACTGCAAAGCATTTATTATTGTTCAGTATTCTATAATCCTGTATCTGATCTGTTTAAATTATTGCTTTGACACTGAAAAGATAGAACCAACGGGAAGCCGTGGTTTGAGATCTTAACAAATGCAAACTGATCAATTAGGGGGTCCAGTATTGCTCTGCATGGTGCCTGGAACGGAGAACATACTCAATACATATTCATGTTTTATGCTTTGATTGCATTTTTAGGTGATGAAGTTTGAAAGAGCGACCACCCTTATTAAGGGAGGGAACCAGTGTCAGAAATAGTAAGAGGGTTTTAGCTCTATTCACAGAGTTTGTGACTTAATCATTTGCCTAGGGTGGCAACTGGCGCCGGTATTTTTCCAAGCTCCCTAAATAATGAACAGTAAAACCCTTAAATGGAATAGGTTTGCAGGCTTATATTTGCAAACAGCAAATATCAAGAAACACAGGAGGATTTCACTCCACAGCCATTTAACAGGAGAATAGTACTCTCAGGATGGAGAGGATGGTGGCTGCCTTGGAAAGGAGTAGAAAGCTGCTATAGTTAAGCTGACAGCAAGGGCCTGGGCCTGAGAAAGGGCCCTGGGCTTAAATTTAATAACTAGTCTCAGATGGATTTAGGACTAATGACACCACTCATACTTAAAAGAGGAATTGTGCTTCTAATGTGATTTCATATAGTTTAACATATTTTCTCAGGGCTTTAACCCAGAAAAGTTTGATTTAGCCTTCAGATCTCCTGTCACGTCCTCAATCTGAGCACCTTCCCTGCCACCTGTTGTCCCCTTGTGTTGATTTCGATCTCCTTCCTCATGCTCCCAAAGGCATCCTGAACATAGCAGTCTCCAGAGTTGTCGGTCTCCCTCCACGTGGACTGAAAGCTCCTTGAAGACAAGGGCTGACATCTCTAGCACCCAGCACTGCATCTGGTTTAGGGCTCCATTCAAATACTTCCTGAGTGAATGAAGCATGAATGAAGCAATTCACTAGATGCTTACTTTGAGCCGGGTATTTTGCTGGTCTTTAAGTAGCATTCTTGTATTTGAGGATTCCGGGTGTGTTGTTGAACAGATTAGATTTATGTACATGAATCAATTAACGTGTAAAATTCCAAAAATTTTAGTACAGAAAAGTGCAGTAATAATTTAAAGGGAGAGATCTATGTAGGCAAAGAATGCAAAATACACTTATGAATATGTAAAATCCTTTAAAATATGGCTAGTTCTCAATTGCTCATTAATGGCGAACAGTGAAGTAGATAATTTAAAGACTATATAAAGTAAAGTGCTTTGGACATTTCCTTTTAGGAGATATTCTGTTTTTGTTTAGATCAATAATAAAATGAGTTCCTATTCCCTGGCTTTTTACAACTGATAAGAAAGGAAAGCCACGGGAGCAAGGAGAAGCCTTCTTCAAAGTAAGAACCACGTTTTTACTCTTTCTGTCCCCAGCATGCAGCTTACCTATCAGGTCAAGTCCAGGCTTGCCCGACTGCGGTTCACACACACTTTGCCATCATTTCATGATTTCAAAGATGTAATGCTTCAGTCACATCAATACAACAAACAAGCAATAAGATAGTTCACACTGGGCTCTTCTAATCCAGTCTTTAAAACTTGAGTCATTTATGCTTTCATCCTAACTACTTTGCCCCTCACAGGTTTACTCACTGAGAATTTGCGTTTATGAGAAAAAAGATATGTTTACTGCTTAAGTAAGCAACATCTAAAATCATATTTAGTTAAACTCTTAGCAAGAATTAATAATTTTCCTTTAAATAAAAGTTTTTCTGGGGCCGGCCCCATGGCCCAGTGGTTAAGTTCGCACGCTCCGCTGCAGCGGCCCGGGGTTTCACGGGTTCAGATCCTGGGCGCGGACATGGCACCACTCATCAGGCCACGCTGAGGCAGCGTCCCACATGCCACAAGCAGAAGGACCCACAATGAAAATATACAACTGTGTACTGGGGGGATTTGGGGAGAAAAAGCAGAAAAAAAAAAAGATTGGCAACAGTTGTTAGCTCAGGTGCCAATCTTTAGGGGGAAAATGTTTTTCTTTGTAAACAGTGGTTTACAATTATAAAAATACAATGCATTCATGTATCTTGACATAACCTGAAGTAAGCAGTACCTTCGTTTTCTTGGCATGTAGCAGTATTAATTGCCATCACTTTGAATACATACCTGTTCACCATACAGTAAAGGTCGGTTTAGGTTTATTCCCTTAATTGTTTGGTTCTGAGTTAGAACTGTAGCAAATGCTATCACACTTTGCATTCCCTAAAAACAGGTAAATACATTAAGGAAACTGACAGAGTATATAAATTAATCTCCCTAAATAAATATTTCAAGATCAGTAATCTGGATTCTGATAAATCAAATTGTGTTTTTAAAAGTTTAAGCATTTCCTCCTCCTTAAATTGTAGGTTGATCAAATTCAGAAATGAATTGTTATTGTGTTCTTCCTGCCCTAAAATCTATCTACAACAGGCATGGGGAGTTTCTTAAAGTTGCAGTATCCATTTCCTAGCGTGTTTGCCTCTAGGTTTGCTCCCCAAGGTTCTGGATGCAGATCTCAGACACACAGACTCACGTGGATCACAGCTAGGGCTCTAGGCTGCTTAGAGCACGTTTCCTTGCCCAGCATTCTTTTATTCATACTCGTTGTGTGTGGCAGGACGGGAAAGGGATACTAACCACATTTTTCATGGCTCCCACAGGCCTCCCTCTCTACCTTATTGGAAAGGCCTAATCCTCCCCTATCTCTGTGACGGACACCACCACACACACCCAGCTGTCTGCCAGAAAACCTGGGCCTCCTCACACTCCACCCCTCCTCTTGCCCTCCCACCCAGGTGATCAGTAAGTCTTACAGATTCTGCCTCCAAAAGATGTCTCAAATTAGTCCATCTCTATGGCCACCACCCCACCCCCAGTCCTCGTCACCCACCTGGACTACTGTAGTAACTTCCTCAGTGGTCAGTGGGCTTCCTCTTGCCACTCTCTTAATTCCCCACAGAGAAACCAGAATGATCTTTTGAAAGTACCAGTCAGATCATGACACCCCTCAAAGCCTTTCCTTGATTTGCATTTATAATACAATCCCCTCTTCTTCCTCTGGCCCTTGACCCGTGACCCACAACCACAACCACAACCCACACAAACTGCTGGATCTGGCCTCTGTGAACTTCTCCACCTTCACTTTGAGGCACCTTTTAACTCCCTCCGCCCAGCCACTCTGACTTTTCAGTTCTTAAAACTCACTAGATTCAAAATTTCATTATTCATGTACCTCCCTCATGATTTTTGCCATCTCTGAATTCAGTTTACTATTTATCTAATACTTTTCCATTAAATCAACTCACTTTTTCACTTATATTTTAAAACTGTATCATTACCATAAATGGAAAACCATAATCCCTTGAAATAAATAGAAAGCATCTGTAAAAAATAAATACACAAGTATTAAAATTACCTTAGTGTGTATCAGTACTGCTACCGATACCACTTTTGGGGACGCAGTGTCTTAGAGTCTGTGTGCTGGACCCCCGCCTGGGATGTTCTGCCATGGACCCTCTCCAAGGCAGGTTTTCACATCCTTCATGACTCCTAAGTATTACTTCCTCAGCTCTTATACAACCATCCTATCATGCAGATTACCTCCTCGCTATTATCAGAGTACTTGGCCATCTTTGTAGCACTTTTCTCTACTTGTTCATAGATGTCTTCCCAACTAAAATGTAAGCTTTATAAGAGCAGAGACCATATCCAATGCATTCTTGTATCCTTAGACTCTTGTATCCTTAGAATCTAGACTTGGTATGAGTAGATAATATATATTGAATTAATGCTTTCCCAGAACCGTACTGGCTGCTTCTACAACCTTTTTAAGCTTCAGAACCTGTTACCCAAAAGAGTTTCCTGGGCTGTCTTATTGTTTGTGTGTCCCAGTGCTTTTGTATTAATCTGAGGCTTTACAACGGGTTCCCAACAGTAGGCCTCAAGGTGTGAAAGCATGTTTGAGAAAATGAAGCCTGGAATTTGAAGACATGCAAAAAACACACATTTCTCATTATCAGGCCAGATGAAGGCCCAGAGCAGCTTTTGGCATCATCATTTTAGTTTTTTACACTACAACATAAATACTCACTGCAAAATGTTTCCTAAAGTAAAAAATTTATATTATACTGATGAAGTAGTATTTAATTAAAATGAACACAATCTTTTTCTTTAAAAATCCCATACAGGTTAAGAAGGGTTATGGATGGAAGTTTAGGAAGATTTTTATTATACTGTGAGTGTTCTTTATAGTAGTATTTACTACAATCTGATTTTATTAACAGCACTATTATGGCTAGGTAAAAAAAAAAAAGCATTTTCTCTCATATTAGACATTAGGGGCAAGCTTAATCATTCATAAGACTGTCATTTAGCTGGTCTCCCTAACGATCCTCTATGCTGGTTTCCAGGGAGAATGATCCAATATCTGGGTGATTTTCTCGTAACCGGTTTACTCACCAGGTCACAGTCGCCCAGATCTAATTTCTCTAAGGATGAATTAATTTGTAGCATTGCAGCAAAACACATTCCACCTTTATTTTCAATCTTGTTTCCGGTCATTTTTAGGTGTTTCAGAATTTTATTCTTCTGAAAAGGAAAAGAACCAAAATTTGGTTAAGTTTTTAACCCACAGAGTTCTCTTTAGATTACATGAGTTAGGAGACTGTATTACTATTTGTAGACTCATCAGTTTTTCATGGAGATAGAATGGAATATATTCCTTAAAGGTAACATTCAGTGTCCCATAGTAGATAAAAATCTAATTTAATAGTTTAGTAGAAAGAATGCCCAGAAAACAGCTGTCCAAACAATGACCAGTAAATGAAGCAGATTTTAATAAACATTCCTTTCATTGGAAAAGCTATACATTTATCTTCTAAGAAAATTATACCACTTTTTTTATTGAGGTGAAATTCACATAACACAAAATTGACCATTTGAAAGTGTACAATTCACTGGCTTTTAGTGCATTCATAATGTTGTACAGCCATCACTCCTAGCTAGTTCCAAAACGTTTTCATCACCCCCAAAGGAGACCCTGTACCCATTAAGCAACCACTCCACGTTCCCCCGTTTCACTTTTAAAGTGATACAATTTCTCAGGCATTTGCAAAGCTTAATTCCTCTTTTTCCATACTTTTGATAAATCTTTCCCAAAGAAAATTTACAGACATTTCATTGATCTAATGAATAAATATTAGGACGTATAAGTGCAAAAAATTATCTTTAAAATTAACTCAAACTCCCCGTGGCAGCAAGAAGAAATCAGGGATGTCCACTCTCACCACTTCTGTTTAACATTGTACTGGAGGTTCTAGACAGGGCAATTAGGCAAGAAAAGAAACAAAAGGCATCCAGGTTGGAAAAGAAGTAAAACTGTCTCTGTTTGCATATGACATAATCTTATATATGGAAACTCCTAAGGAATCCACCAAAAAAGCTGTTAGAACTAAGACCGCAGGACACAAGATCAGTATATAAAAATCAATTGTATTTCTATTCACCAGCAATGAACAATCCAAAAATAAAATTAAAGAAATTCCATTTACAACAGCATCAAAAAGAATACAACATTAGGAATAAATTTAACAAAAGAAAGACAAGACTTGCACACTAAAAACTACAAAGCATCACTGAAAGGAATTAAAGAAGATCTAAATAAATGGAAACAGCCCACATTCATGGGTCAGAAGGCTTAGTTTTGTTAAGATGGCAACACTCTCCAAATTGGTCTAAAGATTTAAGCAATTCCTCTCAAAATCCCAGCTGCTTTTCTTGCAGAAATCAATGAACTGATCTTTTCAACTGATCAATTCAGATGGAAATGCAAGGGTCCCAGAAGAGCCAATACGATCCTGAAAAACAAACAAAGATGATTCCCACTTCTCAACTTCAAAGCTTACTATGAAACAACAGTAATCAAGATAGTGTGGGACTGGCATAAGGATAGACATATGGATTAATAGACTAGAATGAAGAGTACAGAAATAAACCCTCACATTTATAATCAATTGATTTTCAAAAAGGGTGTCAAGAAAATTTAATGGGGGAAGAATAGTCTTAACAAATGGTATGGGGACAACTGGATATCCACATGCAAAAGTATGAAATTAGACTCCTACCTTACATCATATACAAAAATTAACTCAAAATGGATCAAAGAACTAAATGAAAAAGCTAAAACAAAAAACCACTGGAAGAAAATGTAAGTGTAAATTTTCATGACTTGGGTTAAGCAAAGCCTTCTTAGATATAACACCAAAAGCACAAACAGCAACAGAAAAAATAGATAAATTGAACTTTATCAAAATTAAAAATTCTTGTGCTTCAGGGGCCGGCCCCATGGCCAAGTGGGTAAGTTTGCATGCTCTGCTGCGGCAGCCCAGGGTTTCACCAGCTCGGATCCTGGGCGCGGACATGGCACCACTCATCAGGCCTCATTGAGGCGGCATCCCACATGCCACAACTAGAAGGACCTGCAACTAAGATATACAACTATGTGCGGGGGGTAGTTTGGGGAGATAAAGCAGAAGGAAAAAAAAAAAAAAAGATTGGTAACAGTTGTTAGCTCAGGTGCCAATCTTTAAAAAAAAAAAAATTTTGTGCTTCAAAGGACACTATTAAGGAAGTGAAAAGGCAACCTACAGAATGAGAGAAAATATCTGAAAATCATATATCTGATAAGGGACTTGTATCCAGAATATATAAAGAACTCTTACAACTCAAAAGACAAATAATCAAATTTAAAAATGCACAAAGGATTTGAATAGACATTTCTCCAAAGAAAATACACAAGTGGCTAATAAGCAGGTGGAAAGATGCTCAGCATGATTATTCATTAGGGAATTGCAGATTAAAAGCACAAAACCTCTTCATACCAATAGGAATGGCTAAAATCAAAATAGACAATAACAAGCGCCAGTGAGGATGTGGAGAAACTGGAACACTCATACATTGTTGGTAGAATTGTAAAAAGGGACAGCCACTTTGGAAAAGTTTGGCAGTACCTCAAAAGGTTAAACAGTTAGCAAACGACCCAGCAATTCCACTCCTAGGTATATACCCAAGAAAACTGAAAACATGTGCACCCAAAAATGTGTGCAAATATTCATAGTAGCATTGTTCATTACAAAGTGGAAACCCAAATGTCCATTAATTGATGGACGAACGAAATGTGATATATCCATACAATGGAATATTATTCGGCAATAAAGAGGAATGAAGTATGTTACAACATGGATGAGCCTTGAAAGCATTAAGCTAGTCACAAAAGGCCACATGTGTGATTCCATTTATATGTCCAAAATAGGCAATCTATAGACAGAAAGTAGATTAGTAACTGTCAGGGGCTGGGGAGTGGGGGAGAAAAGCATGAGAGGGATTGCTAATGAGTACAAGGCTTCTTTTTGGGGTGAAAATGTTCTAAAAACAGTGATAGTGCTGATGGTCGCACAACTCTGTGAATATACTAAAAAACCCACTCACTTGAACACTTTAAAAAGGTAAATTTTATGTCTGTGAATTATATGTTAATGAAGCTTTTTATTTTTAAAAGTTATTTCAAAACTGTTCATATAATGTCCACATTTTAATAAATTGAAGTGCAATAAAAATAGACATTCCCACAATATTAAAATAATATGTTACATTATACAATTTACATTTATACACATTAACATTTTATTCTGCTGGTTCCAAGCTATCCAAAATTAAAATTCCCACATAAAATGATGTTCGTGTAAGGTACAGAAATGCTTACATGCAGTGCTTTAGCAATCAATTCTCCACCTTCTGGGCCAATATCATTGAACATAAGGTTTAAGTAAATGAGATAAGGTTGTTTCTAAAATAAGGAAAGAAAAGAAGGCTTTACACATGTATTATTAGAAACCAATCAACAATATACAAGAGCTGCTTTAAGTGTTTACCTCCAAAGAAAATCTTTATAACCCAGAAAATCTGAAAGTCCAGCAAAAGAAACTACCTTTAAGGAAAAAATCACCATTCTCATTTAAACATAATTGCAATATAAATGAAAGAAAAATACTATATTCAGTTTTGACCAATGATTCAAAGTATGGATGTACTTTATGTATTTAAGCATAGTGTACAACAAGTTTGCAAAAGATGACTCAGGAACTCTAGGTACCAGCTCTACTGAGACTAAATCCATAAACAGGCTTTCAGTGTATTTCAAGTGTTATAAATACAGCACAGGGTCAGGACCATAGACATTTTGCAAGACGAGTGTTTTGTGTGTGTGCCATTGACTAGGCGGCTTCATGGTAAACAGAACTAAGACCATTTTGATGATGATGATTTTTGCAGCATTTTTATTTGTGATTGCTAAGAATAACTTGTCTACTTCCTATTTTTTTATATCTTCACTCTGTCGTTATGTTGTATGCCATTTTATGGATGAGAATTTTAAGATCATTTTAAGCTATTAGAAGCACTTTTAGCAGATGAGATTGGGACAAGAAGTTAGGAAATTAAAAAGCCAATTCAAGGGAGGAATCAAAACAATGATATATGCTGCTTTAAACATTGTAACTGAAAGCACAGATAAACACATTTGTCAATCTTCTAAGGTTGAAACAGGGCCTTTTCTTCAAGTACACCTACTCTGATTGGCAGAGCACAGTCGTTCTTAAATAGAATGCAACCATAATGCAGCATTTCAGCTCGGGGGGTCTCCAAAGTGAAGTCTGCAATACAGGTTAACTTAGCAAGCGTGGGGTGCTCACACCCTGCACGTTCGAGAGAACAGACTCGTTCTTAACTGGCTCCTGGGAGAAAAACAAAACAGAACGAAGAACATTTTGTTCTAAATTAATACCTGAAGCAGTCTTGCAGCATAGTATGCGCCAACATCACTTAGGAGGTTATATCTAACATCCAAACCTGAAGAACACAGACGAATAGAAGCTGATACTTCTTGTAATGAATACTTAAAATCAGGACAATGAAAACAGGAGGTAATGGTTCTTAAGGAGACATACCAGTAATATATGGATTCTTCTTTAAAATTCTGTAAAGAATCCAAAAATCTTCACCTGTTACTCTTTCTACTGGTGTTAAGCGACTGTTACCAGCAATGTTTAATGTGATTCTTTCCAACCTGTTAAAATACAAAAAAAGAAACCCAGTAAAGAAAGAAAAGTATTTTTTCTTCATGTGTGAAAAGTAACATCACGGATAGCATTTACTGGAACCAAGTACATACCACAATATAGATTTAAACCAAGTAACTTTACTGAATATTCTAGATTTTGCAAAGCAATTTAATATACGCTATATAATTTTGCACACACACACAAAAAAACAAAGTATCCCACTTGGTAGATAATGACACTGAAGACTTCAATAATTTGCCTAAATAACCGCAGCTCACAGGAGTTAAGGACAAATCCGGAGTCCAGACTTGGAGACTGCTGATCTAGGGATCTTCCTGTTCCTGCACAAAATTGGGGTTCTCTTACCCAATGCACATGAAGAGCCCAATTAATCACAGCATCAGCTTTTGGGGAAGAAAGCAGCTTTATTCTGCAAGATCGATCCACAAGGAGACAGGGGGCACGTGCCCTCAGATGTGTCTCCCTCATTCAGGATTTGGAGTGAAATTTAAGAGATTAGGGAGAGCAGGCTGGCATGCGGAAACGCTGGCAGGACAGATTTTGATTGTTGGGCTTCTAAACATTTATGACAGGGTTTCTAAATGTTTATGGTGAGGTTCTAAACTTTTATGATGAGGCTCTAAACTTTTATGATAGGATTCTAAACACTTATGTTGAGATGGGGAAGGAATTTTAACGTTGGATCTTCCTGAATGAGGGACCCTCTCACTTCTGATAAGAGTCTGACTTTTACGTTCCGGTCATGTCCTGGTCCTTTGTTTCCATGGGGAGGAGAAACTTTGGTTCCGTGGTCATTTCAAGTCAAGACTTCTTCTTCTGTGCATGCTCTGGCTCTGTGACTTTGCAAATTTTCTGAAAGGCAATTCTTAATCACTCTGTTATAAGGGATGGGGACAGTGGACTTGGTCCTGGAGGGCCCACAGTTACATTCCCAGAATCCTGCACTACCTCCAAGCCCTACTAACAGCGTCAGTCATCTACTGCTCTGAATCAAAAAAGAGGTCTGTCTCACCAAGGATTTGCAAGTATAAAATCACTCAGTATTCCAGGATTTTCACACAAATCTGTATCAGTGAATATTACACATGTAATCAAGGATTTGTCTTCCTTACCCATTTTTAATTTCTTCATCCACTTCTTGGAGTATGTGCAATATAAAAGGATTAATTTTCTGGGACTTTTCCATACATAGATTATTATAATGTTCCTGGAGACTGTCAAACGGTTCTGGAGCTTTTGAAAAATAAATGCATTATGCTTCATTACATATAAGTTATCCCAGGAGCTTTTTTTCCAAAAAAAAAAATAAGTATAGATACAGATATAGATATATTACACTTATTTCAAAGATATGACTGTGTGTGTGTAGAGATTCGGGGGTGGGGAAGAAAGGGAGACAGAATGAAGACTAGAGAAAAAGAAGGACGGAACGTGAGAGAATAAAAATGCTGTTTGGAGAACCAGAGCCACAGGAGCACCACTGAGGGTGGGCAGACACTAACTTGGAAGTGACATAAAGGGAGAACTAACCTCAGTTATGTAACAGGCCTGGTAGCGAGGAAAATGATATCCACAGAAATTACATATTTCGTCCAAAATCATCCAGCTAATAAGTGCAGAGTACAGAATCAACTGACTCCAAAGCCTCTTTCTGCTCTGCCGCTCTGGGTTACGGTGACTCAAGGTTTCTTTAATGGCTTCATAAAAAGACAATTTTATCAGAGAATCTAAATTCAGTAGGGATCTGAAAAGCCACCAAGCTCCGTGGGCTTCTTGGATACCCTCTCCACCGTGCAAGTGGAAGGCATTTTTGAATATAGCTGTCAGTTCTTCCTAACACCAAGTGGAGGTCTGGCTCAGAGAAGCTCTTCACCTACCCTGGCCTTCCACTTCCTCTTTTTAAAGGTGATTTTCTCCCTGTTCAGTCCTTAATAAAGAAGAGGGAAACAAAGCAGAAGAGATCCCCTTCCTCTGTTATACCTGCAGCTTTCCTTAATCGTCTTATGTTTTCAATATTACCTTAAAGGTGTTATTTTTCCTTTTTCTCCCCAAAGCCCCCTGGTACATAGCGGTATATTTTTAGTTGTGGGTCCTTCTAGTTGTGGCATGTGGGACGCTGCCTCAGCATGGCCTAATGAGTGGTGCCATGTCGGCGCCTAGGATCCAAACCATCGAAACCCTGGGCCGAGGAAGTGGAGCACACGAACTCAACCACTTGGCCACGGGGCCGGCCCCCTCAATATTACTTTAAAAGCATTTTTCAAGGCCCAGAATTTCTGGGGTGGAAACAACACTGTCACTTTCCTAGGAGCACATACCACTGTCTTTGGTTCTGTCCTACCTTTTGTGTACGTCTCTTGGAAAATCTGTGCTCAGAGATCTCACTACTGAACCAGCCTGGTGTCTTTAGGAGCCAGCCTCTCCAAGTCTCTACATCTCAGAGATGTTCTTTGCTGAGTGGATTTCTGCACTATATGAACTAATCAGTTTGCTTAAAAATTTGCAAACAAGATTAAAGATGAGGAACATTATATTAAAAATGAAAGCAAATAAACTTTTCTTACAGTTTTTTAAAATAAACTTTTTTATATATTTGGGTTTTTTAATTGAAGTTACGATAGTTTACAACGTTGTGAAATTTCAGTTGTATATTATTATTCGTAAGTCATATTACAGGTGCACCACTTTACCCTTTGTGCCGAACCCCCATCCCACTTCCTCCTGGTAACCACTAACTGTTCTCTTTGTCCATGTGTTTATCTTGCACATGTGAGTGGAATCATACAGAGTTTGTCTTTCTCTGTCTGGCTTATAAAATAAGCTTTTTAAAAATAAATTTAACCCACACTTATTCTAGACAACTTTGAAATTTCAATATCAAAAACAAAATAAACATTCATCAGCTAATCCCACTGCCAAAGAACCACTACAATTGAGATTGGGGTATTTCCTCCCTGTTGCTTTTCTTTTATATGCACATATAAGCATTTTTAAACAAAACTGGAATATTTCAGTATAGTTCTATATCTTTTTTCAATTAACATTATATTGTGAGCAATCTTCCATGTCATCAGATATTCTCTGAAAATGTTTAATGTTAGCATAATTTCTGTCTCACGGATGATGGACATAAGAAATCCTTCACTTATTTTCGGAAATTTTCATGTGCTTAAAAAATCTTTTAGCACAATATTTCCCAAACTGTGTTCTGTGGAATACTAATCTGCAAGATGACCAAAGATGTTCTAAATAGAATGGGTTTTATTGTCAAATAAGTTCGAGAAGTGCTGAACTAAACAAGGCTAGACAGACCTCTCTATCTACAACACTTCTCAGGACGTTTAAAACACTCAGGTGCACAAAAACTCTTCAAATCGTTGAGCCTGGAGGGGAGGGAAGATAAAACCGCTCCATTTCCCAGACTTACGTGACCACGGTTCACACAGAATGCAATCTAGAAAACGCTACGTTAGTGTCCTCAACGGGAAACAAAGCAAGTAGATCTCAAACAGATTCACTTGTTGGAGCTGGGCTCCCACTGGGCTTCTTTCCTCCCTTCTGCCAACTGCCTTCCTCGGTATTAAAAATAAGACAGACGCCCCGAGAAAATCACTGAGAGCGGGTGGCTGCAACACCCAGGACAAGCAGAAATGTGTCAGCCTTACAACTCAAGACTCTGTGAAGGCACGAAGTAATCTTAGACTACAAGTAGCCAAAGAAAGTTACAAGAATTTACCTATTTAATTAACTGGCATTGGATTTAGAGTATTTAAAAGTTTCTGCTCTGTTTTTCAGCTACTCTCTCTTTTATTTAAAATTCACCTAAATATTGTAGTCAGGATTTTATGGCACCAATAATTTATTCCCTATACTGTATTCATATTAGGAGAAACATCATAAATCAGTCTACAATTTGTAAAGCAAAAACTAGGAATAACCAGTTACACAGGAAAATGTTAAGAACGTATAACCCAAACTTCATTTTTCATCCACACCTGTGTCTTGAATTTCAAATAATTTTCACCTAGAAGCACGTTTTAAAATTTCTAGGGACAGGGCTCATTTTGGAGGTGGTTCCCTACGCCCTCCTATACGGGAACAGCAAGTACTGGGAAAGCAAAGCGTCGAGGGTCAGACTTGGGTGCCTATCCAGAATCGGCTGTGTGACTTTGAACACGTGACTTAAATTCTCCGATCTTAAATTTCCTCTGATGCTGAAGGCAGAGCATAACTATGCCCATCCCACGGGTGCACTGAGGAGTACGTCAGGCTCCTGGTACAGTGCCATATTCACAGACTTAAAACAAGCATCCAAACTGCAAAGGTGGGGGACGAAGGTAGTGCAGCTGTGCTTCCTTTGCTAGAGAGAATCCTCGGACGCAGACATATTTAAAACGGAGCGGCACAGAGATGCACAGTCGGAATGTTCTCGAGACCCTCCTGCCCACTGGGCCCCGCTGGAGCTTCCCCAGAAAAGGGCCCGAGAAGAGCATCCAGACATCCTTCCCGGAGACCGTAAGAGCAAAGCGACAGACACACCTTCCGTCAGGACAACCTATAGCGCGAAGGGCGGCCCCGCTGCTGGGACTTGGGCTCCCCTTCCGCCCGCGTTTGGGGGCGCCCCAAAGTTCCGGCCGCAGCCTGCTCGGGGGAACGGGCCCGAGCTCGCCCCGGCGCCGAAGGACACCCTGCAGCTTACCGCGGCCGTCGGCCGAGGCAGGGGTCGCAGCGGGGGCGGGAGGGGGAGACTGGGACTCCGTCCAGGGAGCCTCCTCGCCGCCGGTCCACATGTCTCTCTCACCCTGCGGGCCGCGGCGGCGGCGTTGTCATGACGACCGCGCGCATGCGCCTGCCTCGCCCAGGCCGCCGGCGTGCCGCGTGGGGGTGCCCGCGGTCTGCAAAACCCCGAGCGCGGCGTCGAGCCGGCTGCGCGGTCCCCTGCCATTATCCGCTTGAGTCCTGAGGCCAGAGTGGGTAGGCAGTGACCGCAGATGCGATGGAGGCTCCCTGGTCACCACGTCTGGGTCCAGGTCACCCCGCCCTGGTTTAAAGACACTCTGAGGGAGGGCGCCCCGGCTCCTTTTCAGGGAGGAGTTCTCGAGGTTTAGGGAGCACGGGTGATGGGCTAGAGGCCGGGGCTGCAAAAACGATTATGACACAGTCCCCTCCCCAAAGTGCGCACAGACCGGCGGGGGCCAAGTGCAAAAGCAGATAGAGCACCTGCATGGATAGGGCGCGGAGCTAGGCAGCATAAAGGGCCATGTAGATCAGTCTTGTGGAAGGGCAGGGGCATCGAAGAGGACTTCTGGGAGGAGGTAACATCCTGACTGGTCGAGTGAACCTGCCTGAGGGCAGAACGGCTTGGTGCGTGCTGGAGAAGCGCAGGTACTTGGGGCTGCCCAGATGAATACGGGGCGGGGGGCACGGCAGCAGGCAAGGCCAGATCCACGTGGAGTCCTGTGCGTCCTCTGAGAAGCACAACTGCGATGGGGGAGGGCGCTGGGAGCCCTCAGATCGGGGTCAGCTGATGGAGGATGGGTTTGATATGGCCGAGGGGAGACGAAATCTGAAGTAGCTGCAGGAGCCCAGGAGAGGTAATAAGGCTTCAGCTAAGGCTGGACTTGGGACAAGGAGAAGGGGACAGAACCCAGGATAGTTACATAGTAACGTGGTCAGGATTTGGTACTTGGATGTGAGAGGAAGAAGAAGTGGAAGGAGAGAAGGAAAAGCCTTTTGTCTGGGGTTGCCATAGATCAAAGAGAAGGAAGTCCAAGGGCCCTGTAGAGGACTCTGGAGCCAGCCAGAGACTGCTTGCCTGTGAGAAGGTGAAACCAGACCGTTTATGAACACAGTTCAAAGGACAAATAAAGCGTCCCGGTCCTCTCTCCCTCATGCTCCCCACAGGCAATTCCAGACCAGTGCGCCACTGCTAAGAAATTGTTGTCCTCGGCAAGTCAGGGGTCTCTTGAAACCCTGTGTACCCCAAATATTTTAAACATCACTCAAAATAACATTTCTTCAAGTTAAACATGATGATGGTAGAAAACAGACACTTATGTGTTCGTTTCTCCATGTGCTACCAACAATGTTGAAAGGTGGATTAAATACTAAAGTGTGAGTGCAGGTACAATTCAGCGTCTGCCCTTCCCCATGCCTCCTTTAAAGTATTCTGGGTTAAGAAGGTGGAGGAAAGTAAAGAGAGGTTGAGGGTTAATTAATTACTACTCCAGGAGAAGGGAGAGAGACTCTTCCAAGGGAGCAAGAAGCGCAAAATCAGACTTTTGTTCTAGAGAGTGACTCATAAACAGGGTCAGAACAGAACAAACAGAAAAGAGCTGCTGTAATCAGACCAACAGCACCCACAGCACTGTTCTGCCTTAGCAAGACAAAAACAAAAGTATTTACACAGAACTACAGCCTGCAATGTCAAAATGTACATCAAATAGGGTGATCAACTGTAAAACTCATTTCCATGGGTACACTTCTCATTATCCCCAATGATTTCCAGACAGAGAAGGGATGCCGTTTGAAAAAAACCCTCCCCTTGAGAACCACTGATTGGGGGTAGCGGGGTGGGGGAGAGAAATGTTGCTGAGGGGCTTTAAGGAAACTTAAGTTGATTCATTAGGTGCTTATGTGTCCAGAACCCAGAGTGGAGGTCTGACTTCAATCTGAGCTTTACTAGAAGTCAAAACCAAAGAGAATATATGAGGGTGTGGAATCCCCGTGCTTCAATAAAAGGCAGCATTTACATTCCTCTGGCCCCTTGTAGTAGGAAGGTTGAGTAGGTAGATCTTTATATTAGTAACTTAACAGGTGTATCTTTGACTATAGTTTTGTAGGAGATCCAGAAATATTTTTCAAATGATTGTTTCTTTTATTGTAACTCTGTTTGAAAAGCCAACAACATGGTATTTACTTATGACTTAGGGAAGGAAACACAGATAATGTGCTACGTTGTTTCCTGATAATATGGAAGTGGAACTGAAGGATCTGGGGGAGTTAGTAGCTAACATCCATTAGCTATTTTTCCCAACTATCAGATGACTCAACAAATGCCGGAACAGAGGAAATTTCTGGTTGAATTTTCTGCTGAGCATCTGAAGTGCTGACTTCCGGTGCTGTTCCTGCATACGTGTTGTTTAGGTACTGAGTATGCAGATGGCAAAATGAGTGTTCTGTTATTACAAATGGTTTGGCCCATGGATAAAAGATGACTGAATTGTATGAAAAATTTACCTTCTCATTATCTGATGAGAAGAGAAACTTTCTCAGTGCTTAGTGGTGGAATAGTGCCCAAAACCTTCATGCTCATTAGGCAAGATGACAGTTTGAAAAACCAAATTCCAAAGAAAAAGAAAAGGTTTTGTCTAGCGGTGTGGGCAGAGGAATGAGGGGAAGATACATTTTTGAAAAGGGATAAAATACCACTTTGGGATCTATTGAAAGGAAACAAGTGTGAGAAGTTATTTCAGATCAATAATTTGGCGACGATGGGGATGGGCGCACACTGCTCAGCACGAGCCAACAATTCTGGCTAAAGAACGTTCCTCTAAGGCCTTTTTCACCTTCAGATGACTGATCAGAGATTTTCAAAAGGACACAGTTACTGAATCCCAGCTTGGGAGAACTCTTTGCTCTACAAAACTTTCAGAGCTCATTACAAGATTATAGCTTTTTTTTCCCTTCTACCATTTCTCATAAGAAGAAAACATATCAAGCATGTCAATAGCCCAGTACTAACCATGATCAGTTTCTACTCACAGAACACTTGTAAGACCAAACGTGTGGGTTTTCCATAACAAGCAATTCTCCAGTTCTCTCTGGACACCAACTAGGTGTCCTACAGTTTAATTGTGACTCTAACTACCCAGAGTTAGAACAGACCCCACTGGTCGAGGACTCAGTCACACAAGACTGCTTCCCGCTTCAGATGCCAGTCACAAGTCCCAGGTTGTCACCTGTACTTCCACCAATGGGCTACAAATCAGGGGTTCCCACGACCCCCTCCTCAGGTTCAATAATTTGCTTTAATGGTTCACAGAACCCAGGGAAACACTTTACTTACTATAACTGGTTTATCATGGAGGACACAACTCAGGAACAACCAAATGGAGGAGATGCATAGGGCAAGGTATGGGGAAGGGGCACACCACGCTCCCGGCACCTTGATGTGTTTACCAACCCGGAAGCTCTCCAAACCCTATTGTTGAGGGGTTTTATGGAGGTTCCATTACATAGGCATGATTGACGATTGACTAAATCATTGGCCATGGGTGATTAACTCAATCTCCAGCCCCTCTCCCCTCCCTGGAGTTGGGTAGGGGGGCCTGAAAGTTTCAACACTCTAATCACATGATTGGTTCCTCTGCCAACAAGCCGCTATCCTGAAGCTATCATGGGACCAGCAAGAGTTACCTCCTTAGCATAAACTCAGGTAGGTTTGAAGGGGGCTTATTATGAATAACAAAAGATGCTCCTTTCACTCAGAAAATTCCAAGCGTTTTAGAAGCTCGTATCAGGAATGTGAGAACAAAGACCAAATATATATTTCTTATTATATCGTAATATCATACCCAGAATCCTGCCTTTATAATTGGCTAAGCCATTTAGATTCCCTCTTGCCCCTGCCGAAAATCTAAAGTTTCTTACTTATAAAAGTTTTCTACTCAAGTCCGAAGCTTATATGGGAATTCACCTCAGTACTGAGTGGAGACTTAAAATTTTTCCATGGGATCTAATAGTTTCCCAGAAATTTTTATCAAAGCAAAGGGTAGTGTCACCATTACATGATTCTCCAGTCCTAGGTCAATCATAAATGGTTATTTATGCTATCAGAGAGAGTCACACACCATATTAACCTCGGGACCCTAATCTTATCTAGCCAGTTGTAATCAGACTTGGAAACAAAAGTATCAACACTTGATGTCAATTTGAGAGGATTGACTATTTTCCTAAATGGTTTTCTCAGACATTAAAGGTACACAAAGAAGGGCTAGTTATTAAACTACCCAACCCTGGCTCCTTTTAATGATGATGAAACAGTTATTCCAATGCAACAGAAACTCCACAGTAATATTGGTTTGTAATAAGGTAATTTGACCACATTCAGGTGGCAATCTCTAGGAAAAAATGCCAATAAGAAATCAATCTTCCCCATTCTTATTTACTGTGGCTGAATTACTGGTATAACTATTGCAAATCCTGGCTTTACAACCTCCTTTCATTGAGTCTGCTAATAGATATACTATATATAGCTTTTAGAGGGCCAAATTGGTTCGGGACACATGTGGGATATATCATTAAGGAGAAACAATATATGTACACACACTTTCAGACATTCTGTTACCACACACAAACACAGGTTCGTTTATGCGCCACAAAGTAGGGCCAATAACTGAAACGTCAGGCTTGTGGCAAGGAAAGAGGTTTACTATCAAAAGGCAGCCAGACAAGGGGATGGGAGTTAGAACTCAGATCCACCTCCTTGAAGGGAAAAAGGTAGGGGTTTTAATCTGGGGTTTTAGGGAAGGGAGGGAGAGCATGTGCTGGGGTTTTAGGGAGGGGAGAGGGAGCATGCGGCCTTGCTGGTTGGCGCCTTCCCACCAGCATGCGTCTGGCCTTGAAGACTGAATTTCTTTTTCCTTGACTCTCTGGACTTTTCTGGTTAGTTTTTATCTTCGGCCTGCGTTTGGCCTTGCAAGGCTAAATCTTGACATCTGGACCTTGACTTCCTGGAAAGACAGCTCACTCATATACTAAGGAGGGACAGAAAGGCCTGGTTAGTTTTGAACAGTTGATCCTGTTGAATATGCACAG